ATAAAATGCCACCATGGCAGCATGTTACCTGCTCAGTTCTTCCTCTTGGCCTCACCTGTCTACCTCCCACTTGGCCCCTTCCTGTCTCATCTTTGCTAATCTAACTGCAGAACATCTCCTTCTCAACAGATTCAGAAATCACCTTGCACATTGGGAAGAGGAGTTTGCCCTGGGTGCAGGGCTCAGATTACTGAGGCTGGAAGGGGGTGGTCCTTGCACCCCATTGTCCAGCTTGTGCTTTGTGACATCGGCTTGTCTACCAGAGGCTTGTTTTTGCTGCATATCTGCTACCTGTGCCTGTCACACCAAGGGTCTTGGTTGCCAAGATTGGATGCAAATCCACCTGAGTGACTGAGGACTGCTCTAACTGGCTTTGACTTCCCTGGTATTGCAGACACAGTATTTCTTCAGAAATTGTCCCCTCCTCTGCCCCTCGCTGCTAATAACATTTTGTGGCTTGGTATTCCAGTTGCTAAATTTCTTTCTCAAAATATTTTACCTTGCTTCCCCCAGATGCCCTGCTGTCATCCTCAAGTGCATCGTAAATCTCCACTCTAGTGCTTCTGCTCGTGTAGATCATCCCAGTGCGCTGATCACAGCGGCACAGTATGAACTCTCCGCTGACTAATGTCACTTGCGTATTTGTAACACAGCCTTCAACTGTGGTGATGTCAGGATAACTCACTGTTCAGAATCTGTTAGCTGGCAGAAGCCAGGGACCTTAGTGTGACCCCTTTATTTTATAGGTGAGTACAGCAAAGCTCAGTTAACTGACTTTCTCAAGGTCACATGGTCAGGAATTCCTGACCACATGGGACCAGACTCCAGATATTCTGATTTTTCACTTTACTCTTTCTTACTCACCAAAAGATACTTCTTTGATCTTCTATTAAAATTTTTTCAACTTAAAAAAAATTGTGGCTAAGTATGCATAACATAAAATTTACCATCTTACCCATTTTTAAATGTCCAGTTCAGCGGCATTAAGCATGTTCTCATTGTTGTGCGATGATCACCACCATCTGTGTCTCCAGAACGTTTTTCATCTTCCCAAACTGAAACTCTGTACCTTCAAATACTAACTCCCCATTTCTTCCTCTCCCCAGTCTCTGGTAACCACCATTCTACTTTCTGTCTCTTATGAATTTGACTATGTACCTCATAAAAATGGAACCATACGGTGTTTGTCCTTTTGTGCAATGGCTTATTTCACGTAACATAATGTCCTAATGGCTCATGCATGTTGTACCAGGCTGAGTAATATTCCATTGTGTGGATATACCACATTTTGTTTATCTGTTGGTGGACAGTTGGGTCTCTTTACATTTTGGCTAGTGTGAATAACACTGCTATGAACATGGGTGAAAAAATAAATATCTGTTCACCAAGAGCTATTCGTTATGAAAATATTTACATTGAAAGACACTTGCACCTGCCTACTATTGCCACCCATATTTTTCTTTCTCTTAGAAAATTCGGAAAATACAAAAAAGCATAATGAAGAATATAAAAGTCATAGATTTTTTGGGGGGTATATATTTATAGGACTTCATATTCATGTTGTCCATAATTTTAGAATTTTTATATACACCAAGAGAGAATCTTAACAGGTAGGCCAATTTGTGTAGTAGAGAGAACACTGGAAATATATTTAAGGGACAGAGAGCATGATAACTGAATGTTACCTTGGCTACTCCTGGCATTTGAGAGTTGAGTTCATGCAAACTGTGATCTACCTTAACAGTACTACAGAGGAAACTCTTTGTGGTGGTGCTACTTTAAGACCATTTTAACATCTTGATAGAGCATCTTGTTGCTAAGAGATGGAATTTTTAGAATGGGGGTTATTCCCAGTCACATTTCTTAAATATCCACTAGGGGGCAGTAAAAGACACAAATTTTTCAACAGGCGGGTTGAGTGTCGCGCAGTCAGACATCCACAGCCGGTGCTGTCTTTCAGCCATCCGTGCATGCACTTAGAAGGTAATGGATTTCACGTCCAATAGCAGGTTTGGATAAAACAAGATTTTATCAGCTGTAGCCTAAGTGCAGGTCTTCCTCACATTCAGCCTGACATCAAAGCACAAAACTTGATTCAATATGTTGGTCTCACATTGTATTTTTACTTAATTCATGTTAGTCCAGCGATTCTCAAACAGTGTGAATCTCAGAATCACCTGTCATGCTTTTACAAAGTACACATGCCCAGGTCTCATCTCAGATCTATGAAATCAGAATGCCTGGGGCTGGCCTAGTGATATAGACTATATTTTGATTCTGGCCCCTCTTGCTAAAAACCAGTACATTCACTCTAACTTTAATAACTGAGGGGAAAGGGTTACCCTTGAATGAAACCTCAGAGGAGAGTGAATATGAATTCTGTAAAATCTTTCTCTTTTTGAAACAGAAGTTGCTGAAGGGTCTGGTGGCTATGGGAACCACATTTGGAACAGCTATGAGGCTTTCCCATAGATGGCATCTATATTATAACAAGCCAGGAACCGAGACAGAAGACCTGAAACAGACCTGGCAATCTCAGGACCTAGGATCACAGTTCCAAGAAGACCATGCTTAGGGGCCAAACTCTTTAGTGTGAGGCCAGAGCTCAGATACCAGTGCCGTCTGCTCTATTAAGGGAATATTCCCGACAGAGTTCAAGAAAACCAGACTTTTAATTTTACCTTATCAGAGGTGAAAATGGAGCAGGGAACTTGCAATGAGGTCAGAAGACCTCAGTTCTCATCCTAACCATCCTTCTAGCCAGTTGTGTGACCCAAGGCAAATCATGCCACGCCTCCGAGCCTCAGCTTCCCAGTTTGAGTTAGGACAGGATCGGATGACCATCTCTGAGGATCCTTATGTTCTGAAAATTCAATGATTCTATTAGTATTAATAACTTGATTTGTATGGTGCTACTCTGGCAAAGAGCAGAAGAAATATTCAGCAATGTAATGAATGACAGAGACTATTGACCATGTAGTTTAATTTATTTAAGGCATATACACTGAATTCAAAGGAGAAATATTGCTCCCAATAACATATTGAACTGTTAGTATCTTCGGCATAGCAAAAGCTTTCCAGAGGGAAAAATTACCCATCAGTGCAAACTTGACATTTTTCACTTCCTGATCCATAACTGCCATTTCTCCAGCATGCTTGTATTTCCTGTGAAGGGCCAAATGTATGCATACTTTGTATGAATATTAAATACCTACATAAACGTCAAGGTCGCAGTTGCAAGAAAGGCTCTGTGGAAGGCCCTGGGAGGCTAGCATTGATCTCTTGTGAAGTTCCATTTCTCGAATCCTGCTGACAAGGGGAAACAATTGATGTGGACCATTATTAAGGCTTTAAGTGTTTCTCCATTGTTAAAGATCTTTTACAAGCCTGGAGTAACTGATAGTGCCCAAGGAATTGGCAAACGCTTCACTTAGAAATATAGGTTGGTCAGAGAGATACGTAAAACCCCAAGAGTAGTTGCCCTGCACTGGGCTTAAGCAGCAAAGGTGGAGGGCCGGGTGCGTCCAGCTGGGGCACGTCCCCCTAGCCTGCCAGCCACTGCTCTGAGTTACGGAGTTCAGGATGGAAGGATGGGCTGTTCCCAGCTCTTTCACGCCAGAAGCTGCAGAGAGAGTGGCTCCTGCTTCCAATTCCACCTTTAAATGATCTGTGGTGTCCTTCCCCAGTGAAAACCTCCTCTCCTGCCATTCAGTCCATCAGTTCTCCGTAGCTGCAGACGGGTCTGGCGAGTTTCCAGGGGGAACTGGGTGCATGTGAATTATCAGAGTTCCAGGCGAATTGGGCACTTGTGAATTATGCAGACCTGCAAACCCAGACTGACTGTCTGGACTGATCAAGTGACCCAGATAATTATGTGAGTGTCCTGCTGACCTGGAGCTGGAAGCAGAGCAAATATCATGGATGAGAGAATCCAGTTTCAAAAAGATCTCAAGCTAAAGGATTAGCCAAAGCTAGTAGATGGATTTAAGAAGAGAAATAATTGGCAAAACGAACATTTCCTGTGTACTAGCTCTGTGTTTGGTATTATGCTCGGCCCTTTGCACATTTAGTTCATCTTTACAGTGACCCAGGGAGGGTAGGTTTTTATATCTCCATTTTTAAGATGAGGAAACTGAGGCATGGTAGTACAGAGGAAGGTGCAGGCATGTTAGATTCCTTGATCTAGACTCCATCCCAATTTTGCTCCTCAGCCGAGTCACTTCATTTTTAAACAACAGCAATAGCTAGGCTTTATGGCTGCCTCTTATGTGCTGGGTTTTGTGTGCTTAGTGCTTTGTATTTATTATCTCAGTTCATTCTCAGGACAACCTTACTCCTATCTCACAGATGAGGAGGGCACAGGCAACTTAAGTGACTTGCCCAAAGTCGCACAGCAGCGCCAGGACTTGAACCCAGGCAGTTTGATCCCAATGCCCATACTCTTAAAACTGCTGTACCATCGTGTTTTCCTATATTATAAAAAGAGAACCACCCTATCTTCAGTGAGGCTTGGGTGAAATTACTTACTGTGAAGTGCCTAATACAGTACCTGGCACTTCATAGGCACCCGTAAATGGGACTAGATCATTATCATTATCATCGTCACCATCAGTATCCCACTATCATTAGTTGAATGCCTTGCTCAGGGTTAGAGCTAATAACTGACAATGACCTGGGATTGGAACCCAGGTCTCATGACTGCAAATCCTCTGTGCCCTCGATTTCCCTCTGGAGGCCAAGACTGAGGCCATCCTAGGTCACTGTCAGTGCCTGGTATAGTGTTAGACCCCAGGCAGGTGCTCAGGGAGCCCTCCCATAGGCAGAGCTCAGTACCTGATATGGTGTTAGTCTGGAGCACCTGCCAGCACTCACATGGACAGGGCTCATTTCCTCACTCATTCACCAAGCATTTGCCCAGGTCCTGCTCTGTCCTGAGGGTCCAGAGAGGAAAAGAATATGATGCTAACTAACCATTCTTTCTCCTCTCCCAACCCCCAAAGGGTCGAATGGTGAAAGATGGTGACCCCTCCTGGAAGCCCACTTTCATTGTGAAACCTGATGGTGGCTGTCAGGGTGATGGAATCTACCTCATTAAAGACCCCAGTGACATCCGCCTGGCAGGGATCCTGCAGAGCAGGCCAGCGGTGGTCCAGGAGTACATCTGCAAACCTCTGCTTATCGACAAGCTCAAGTTTGATATTCGTCTGTATGTCCTACTAAAGTCCTTAGACCCTTTAGAGATTTACATAGCCAAAGATGGACTCTCGAGATTTTGTACAGAGCCCTATCAGGAGCCTAACCCCAAAAACCTGCACCACGTCTTTATGCACTTGACCAACTATTCTCTGAACATCCACAGCAGCAACTTTGTCCACTCGGACAGCACGAGCACGGGCAGCAAGAGGACTTTCTCCAGCATCCTCTGCAGGTTGTCTTCCAAAGGGGTTGACATCAAGAAGGTCTGGTCTGATATCATCTCCTTGGTGATTAAGACAGTCATTGCCCTGACGCCAGAGCTCAAAGTTTTCTACCAGTCGGACATCCCAGTAGGGAGGCCGGGGCCTACATGCTTCCAGGTAATCATGGCCCGTTCCCAGCCTGAGTTCTCAACCTGGCCTCATGTGGGACGAGGGGTGGGGGTGGGATGGCCAGAGGGAGCAAGGGGTGGTTGCTGGTGTGAGCTTTCATGTTAAACCTAACACCAACTGGATAGTTAGGCTGGATGGAATCCAATTGGCAGCTTTCTGTGTGCTAGCTGTATGATTTGGGGCAAGTTAACTTCCCTTTTCTCACCTGTAAAGTGAGACCACTAGTACCTCCCTTAAAGGATTCTTCTAACTATTAAATGAAATCATGTGTGAAAAGCACAGTACCTGTCATTCCTTTATTCAGTCTTTCCTCTGGCAATTTTTGCCACCTGCTTAGTAGGGACCAGGCCCTGTCTGAGATACTAGTGAGACCGGAAGTCTGGTCCCTGCTGGCTTATACACAGTTCACTATTGTGGGAGACAAATAACTTTAGAAGCAACTAATATAAAGTGTGACAAGTGCTTGAACAGAGTAGGAGATGTACTGGATGCTGTGAGATTGTGGGACCATCGAACATTTTCTGGGTGGGAGTAAAGGTGGTCTTGGAAGGCTTCCTGGAGGAAGTGGCAGTTAAACTGGAACCTGAGTAAGAGTTGAATGAAGCAGGGAAACTGGGTTGTTCTAAGGGGAGACATGTTGCAGCCCTAGGGGTAAGGGTGCAGCATGGAGTGTGAGGAACAGTGAGAGGTTCAATATGGTTGGAGGTGGGGTTTCAGGCAGAGAGGGTGTGGAGAGATGAGGTGGGAGAGGCAGGTCGGGCGAGATGGATCACTGAGGGCAGGGGAGCCACTAGAGGTTCTGGCAGAGGACTCAGATTTCAGATTTGCACGTTACAGAGAACAAACCTGCTGCAGGTAGAAACTGGATTGGGCAAGGTGGCTGGGAGTGGACTGGTGGGTAGTGAGCCAATCGCTTGCCTATAAGCAAGAGGTGTCACTTGCTTGGAGTAGGAAGGTCTTGGTGGAGGTCTGAGAGCCATTTAGGAGGTAGAATGGCTGACCTGGTGACTGGATGGGGCTGGGGAGACTGGAGAGACGGTGGCAGTGAGGGATGGGGGAGAACCAAGACGGCCTCACAGGTGGCTCAGGTGCTTGGATGGATGGAGAAAAGCCATTGGGAGGGGAGGCCAGTCTTGAGGAAGGTCAGGAGTTGGACTTGAACCTGCCTTTTAAGTGCCTATGTGACATCCAAGTGGTGAGGTTGAGCGCGGACAACTAGACTTTTGGGCCTGGAGTTCAGGGGCAAGAAGTCTGGGCTGGAGACAAAGGTTGGGAAGCCATCAGCGTTCAGGTGGGGGCTGAAGCCATGGGAGGCTGCAGGGTGAGATGGGGCCTGAGAAGACCCCCACATGCACCACCATTTAAGCAAGGGACAGGCAGAGGAGGGGAACTAGCAAAGGAAGCCAAGAAGTGGCTTGAGATATAGAAAGGACTTCAGGAGAGGAAGCCCCTTACTGCCAAGGAGTTGAAGCCGGCTGGGGTCAGGGGTGGCAGTGCTGCAGGGATGTCACATGAGGCCAGAACTGAAGTGTCACTGTGCTTCCCGACTTCAGCGAGGACTGTGTTCCGTGGAGTGATGGGGCAGCTGATGCATAGTGCAGTGAGTGGGGGTGCAAGCGGGAGGAGCCAGGCCCGAGCGAGGCCCGAGCGTTCTTCCAGGTCACTGGCTATGAAGGGGTGCAGGTGTATGGGGTCCAGGCACACAGTAGGCTCAGTTTCCTGCCACCAGATAAATGAGAATGGGGAGCTGATGATAAGGAGGAGTACCTGTGGGACCCTCTCCATCTAATCTTCAAAATTATTTAGCAGCAGCTGAAATATAAAAAAGAATGCATGGGGCTTCTATGTAAGCTATGAAGCAGAACAGCAAAAGGGTCCTCCGACCCGCCTCTGAACCCGAGATCTCTGATCACCATGTTTCCCCTCCATCCTGTTTCTCTACTCACCCCCGAGGTAACCATTATCCTGAATTTTATGTTTATCATTTCCTTGCTTTAAAAAAATTACTTTTATTCTGCACAAATGGATCCCTAAACAATGTATTGTTTTGTTTTGTTTGTTTTGAGCTTTATAAAACCCTACTATAAATTATGGAGTCTTCTGCAACATTCTTTTCCACTGCATGTTGAGGGGGCTTGTTGGCACATTTCATTTGCACTCCTGTGTGTTCCAATGTAAATATGTACAATTTGTTTATCACTTCTTCAGTCAACAAACATTCGGATTGTCTCTTGTTGATATCTAAGACTGCGGCAGCAGAGTGGCAGCAGGGTGGAACAAGAGGGGAGAGGCGAGGGAGTGAGGCAGTGTCTCTAGTGGCTGGGCCGTTCATTCAACAGCAGAAGAGGAAGCTGGTCCAGAGGTGCAGCCCCAAAACAGAGGCTGCCCCTGCGGCTGGGCACCGGTCAGCAGACTTCCAGGCAGACTCACTGGGTCCTTTGGAGTGGAATTCAGGGAGTGAGGGAATAATTGTCACCCAGATATCTGTCCTTAGGCTCTTGGCCACCCCAGCTTTGGTTCCTAGGTAGGATGTCCAGCTCAGTCGTCAGGCAGGTGGCCTAAGGCATTAGAAAGGGCAAGTGGGCAGAACTTAGAGAAAGGACCAGAGAAAACAGGTCCTGGCCCAAGCCATCAAAGGGCAAGGGAGGCAGTTGCAACGTGGAGGCATCAGGGGTCATCCCGGGGGACTGTGCGGTCACATCTGTTTGATGGTGACAGCTATTCCAGGAGCATCACGTGGGCCCAGCATGCATGGCCATGCCACAGAACCTTGGCGCAGGGAGAGTGCAGGGTGGAGGCCAGGGCCATTGTCTGGCTGCTTGTCTTTCTATGGGCAGGCCGCATGGGGCAGCCATCGGGTGGGACCGGGGGCCCAAGCTGGAGAGCAGACAGGGAGGGAGCCATTGGTTTGGACAGATTGTGTCTAGCAAATGGAACCACAGCCCTGTGACCATTTTCCATTGCTTGACCACACTAAACGCTTCCAGGCCTGGGGTCAGGAAAGGAGCACAGTCCAAAAGTAAACCTCCAGGGGGAGCTCTTCTCCTTTCCAGCTGTGTGACCTTGGGCAAGTGTCTTCACGCCCCTGAGTCTTTCCTTCTCTGAATCACCCACACTTTCCTACTTGCCTTCTTAGGAGTAGTGAAGGTGAAAATGCTTTGACAAGGTATAAAGTGTTAGGTGTTTGAAATTTGTGTTACTGTACATTACGGTTTCACAGTGATTGAAAAAATATCCTTTTCTCCTTGAGATCCTCTTTTATTTTCTTTACTCTCAAAATTGTTTAAACACTTATTAGTTTGGATCTCAAACACTTAAAGAACTTGGAATCCAAAGATTTCGAGACGGTATGGTTCTGCCATTGACATGCTGTGTGATCTTGCATAAGTCATGTAACTTCTCTGTGCCTCAGTTTCTTCACTCACCTCACATGGTTGCTGTCCAACTCACATCTTGCGATAAAGATAATGAAAGGCTTTGTGAGCTATAATGTTCTTGCATATATAATAAATGATCTCTTTGTTGTGAAGCCCCTTTTACTTGTAGCCTGGGCCTGGCCCGGATTGCAGCATTCCAGGACATAACTCTAGCCAACAAAATTACATTTATCTTAAACATGTGACTCTGACCCCTTTCCAATCATAGCCACAATAACTACTTGGGAAATTGTGATGGCCCAGAGTAGTTGCTGGCACGGCTCAGGCTGTGGGCAGGTTTCCTGTAATCTGTTGCCTAGGAACATGGCTGCCCTATCGCTCTGGCCTGTCCCCCGTCATTGCCCAGGCAGCCCCCAGCAACATATCCTCATGTCAGTCTTCTTGAGGGCAGCAGTGTGACCCTGGCTTAAGCAGTAAGGTCCATCTGGGTGCAGATGACTCATGTGGCAGAAATACACGCGGAGAGGAAAGGTTCCAAGAACATTGTTTCCCAGTCCGATCGCTTGGTCTTTCTCTTCCTCTAGCTGTGTGTCTAATTCTCTCCTTGGCCCCTGATCCTTTCCCTCAGATGTCTGGAGGAGGCACTTTCCCAAAACCTCATGGTGCTTCTTGTCTTTCTTAGGCCTTTTTGGCCTTGGCCTCCCCCTTCAGCCCAAGACACCCCACTGGAAAGAGATGAGGAAGCAGTCTAGTGGGCACACAAGGGCTTGGGCCCGTTTCCAGGTGCCCTGGGCCTGACCTAACCCGAGTCCCTCCTTCCAGCAACTCTAGCCGGTGAGCTTGGCAAGTTACCCTTTTTTGGCCTCCGTGTCTTTACTTGCACATAGACATGATATTTGCATGTACCCCACAGACTTGTAAGATGGATAGAGAGAGGCTGGGAGGGGCATTTGGCACAGTACCGAAGCACATAGTAACCACCTAATACATGATAGTTGCATTATTATTACATCGTTTGGTATCTGTAACAACAGTTCTCAAACTTGATATGGAGAAATGCCTTGAACTTATAGGAAACCATGAAATACTCACATTTTCAGCTTGATTGGAACACCAGTGTTCAAGGAACATAGCTGGAGCACCCAGCCCTTAGCCTGGCATTGGCTGCCTCCCAGCCTGGCCCCAGCCTGGCTGCCCTGTACCCTCCCTGATCCCTGCGGTCCTGCCAAACAGAGCTGATTCTTGTCTCTTAGACATAATGGTGCTTTTCCAGTTCCGCCTATTTGTTCTCTTCTGTCTTGGCCTGGCATGCTCTCACCTATTCTCATTTTTGAAATTCGGTGCCTTCCAACGAGGTGCTGCTCAAATCCCACCTTCTTTGTAAAGCTTTCCTTGATCACCTCTGATATTTAAGGTCTTTTCTTCCTTTGGACATTTGCTGGGCTCCCACAGGGACAAACCCTGAGCTAGTTGTGGGGAATGTGGTTATGGATAAGACACAGTCCCTGCCCCTAAGAGGTACATGGTTTAGTGGGAAAGAATAACATGGGAATGACAATTTCTCATAGTGAATGCTGTAAGAGGGCATTTGCAGGATGCTGGGCGAACACA